CAATGTCGATCTGTGTCAACCCAACAGATACTTTTGGGGATACCCGTAGTATGCCTTTATAGTCACCCAGTTACGTTGTGACGTTTGGTACACCCAAAGCACTCCTACGGTATCCGGGAGTTACACGATCTCATGGTCTAAGGAAAAGATACTTGACATTGTAAAAGCTCTAGCAAACAAACTACACGATCTTGTGCTATGCTTAGGATTGGGTCTGGTCCATCACATCATTCTCCTAATGATGTGATCCCGTTATCAACGACATCCAATGTCCATAGTCAGGAAACCATGACTATCTGTTGATCAACGAGCTAGTCAACTAGAGGCTTACTAGGGACATGTTGTGGTCTATGTATTCACACATGCATTACGATTTCCGGATAACACAATTATAGCATGAATAAAAGACAATTATCATGAACAAGGAAATATAATAATAATCATTTTATTATTGCCTCTAGGGCATATTTCCAATAAAAGCCCTATGTCTCGGTGCCCTGAGGCGGTCGACTGGAATATGGGTGTGTGTTACAAGGGGTGCGAACCCTTGTCCCAGAGGAGGGGGGTGGCTTGTATAGAGTGCGCCAGGACCCCATGCGTCCTCCGTTACAGGGGTTCAATGTACATTAAGACAGAGCATTACTGGTAACGCCAGCTATAAAGTGCTATTAATGATCTTTAAGACTACAGAGTGAACGCCTGACCGTTGCCATCCTGAGTGACTCTAGGTCTTCTGTACTCCGAGTGGTTTCCTGTATGGTCAAATGACTCCATACAGGTCGAGTGAAATTGGGGTATCCGGGTGAGGTGACTGGTCGAGTGGATTGCACTCGACGGCTTCAGTCAGTACTTCTTGCTATACTTTGAATGTCCTTGACTCTAGGGTAGTGACCTTGGGTAGGGCGTATAGGTCAGACCTATGACCCTATCATAGGTTCATGGCATCGTCATTAGCCCCTGAATGGATTGAGGTCCGATAGCGAGTTGAAGTTGACCTTGACTTGACTCTTATGCTTCATAGGCATTCTTGTTGAGCTCGAGGTTCATGCTGAAACTTCGACTTCATTTCAGTCGCCTTGATCGATTCAGAGGTCGTCGAGTGAACTTATGCTGGCAATCTTCGAGTGTTGATATGGTGTGAAATCTTCGGCACGATTGGTTACTGCGGTTCCCGGATCTCACGGGATCCGAAAATTTGGGGAAGCGCGCGAGGTGGAGCGCGCCGCAGTAAACGGGACGGATAGACATGGGCGCCTCGATTTCTATGCCACCTTTTTCGCCACGTATTCGGTGCGTGACTATTGCGGGATTTGACAGGATCGCTCGGGCCCACTCGTCAGCCACTCGGAAGTAGGCCCATAAAAGGTGTCAAGGCCGATGCATTTGCACAGTGCACTCCCATTCCCCTTCTTCTTCCTCTGCTTCTCCACCGCGTCCTCTTTCGCCCTTGACGCCGTCGCTCCGCCCATGCGCAGCCTGCCACAGTGGTGAAGGATAAGACGGCGGCACTGGAGTGCGCGAAGAAAGCGACGACGACAGCGAAGGGCAAGAAAACGAGTCGGGGATCATCGTCAAGGTCTGGGATGCCGCCTGGTTGGATCCAGGGGGACTGGATCCGATCCACGCTCCGGCCAGAGGATCTGGAAGATCTGGCCTCCATGGGCTTGATTGCCGACGGGACTTCGAGGCTGCCGGGGGACGAGATAGAGCCTCAGTCGCGGGCGGGTGAGTGCGTCCTCCTTGCCACCCATGTCGACCGTGGGTTCTCCCTTGCCCCGCATCCTTTCTTACGGGGTTTTCAGAACTTTTTCGGTGCTCAGCTTCACCATTTCTCTCCCAACACCATCACATACCTTGCTGCATTCGTTTCTATGTGCGAAAACTTCTTGGGCTGTAGACCGCACTGGGGTCTCTTCAAACATATTTTCATAGTTCGTTCCCAAACCGTGAAGAAGGAAAATCCAACTGACGAGAGGATGCATGTGATTCAAATGTGCGGGGGTTTAGGGATTCAAATGAGGAAGAGGAGCACTTTTCCCCCTTTGACCCTTCCTGAGTCGGTTAGGGGCTGGCAGTTGACCTTGTTCTACTGCCAGACATTCCGACCCCCGGTCAGTCGACCGATCTTCCTCCCTTTACCCTAGATCGAGTCCAGCAACCTTGTTCACTGATTGTGACCAAAGCGGAGAGAGTAGAGACAAACATGTTAGTCGAGAGGGTAGTTCAGTTGGTCCGTCAGGGCGTAACTGACATGGATTTATTGGAAGTGTTTCTCAGTCGATGCATCCAGCTGCTACAAGCCCGTGATCATTCGATGTGGATGTACTTGGGCTCCAATGACACCGCTCGGGTCCACCCAGAGGAGGTCCCCGACGAGATGGTGGCCCTGTGGCTGAAGAGCATTACCGAAAACAAAGATAACCCTAGGGGGGCCAGGAAAGTCGATCCATTCGACGCTGACAACCAGCCGGACAAGGTCCGATCCTTATTACCGAGTGTACTTCATTCTGTCTTGCAACCGTCTTTGAATATGACTGATGTTTGATTAACTTCTTGCCTTGCAGGTCTATACTAAGATGTATTCGATGTCGAACAGGGAGCAAGCCCAGGAGCAAGTCCAGGAGGAAGCAGATAGCGCAGAGGAGAGCGCCGACTGGCAATCTTCTGATGATGATGATGAGGAAGAGAGTGATGAGTCAGACGACTAAGAAGAGGAGGTCGACTCACCACCTCGCACAGAGCGCCGATCCAAGCAGTCTCATGATCCAGCGGGTGGCCGCAACAAGGCTGTGGCTCCGAGCACGCAAGTGCATAAGCGCACACGGACCGGAGCCGTCAGAAAAGGTCACCAAGCAGCCCAAGGTTGCCCCTTCAAAGCCTCAGAAGACCTTGCCCAGGATCAAGATGGACGTTCCCGTCGCTTCTGCGTGAGTGTTCTGTCTCTGTGTTCTCCTACTGACTCATACTTCTGCTATGACCGAGTGGGCTATGAATTTTTCAGTGCTGCAACTTCCGGGACTTCCATGGATATTGACAAGGCTTAAGATGATGAGGAGACTGAAGATGCGGCTACTTCCAAAGCTGGTACGATCCTGTAATCTTGTGCTTGTTTTGTCGACTGAATTGCTGGTCAATTGAGCCTCTATGGTTGCATTTTGTGTAGCCCCACGGGACGTCATTAAACTTCCAGACGACGATGAAGAAGCGCCTTAGAAGAATACATGAAGGAGGGGCAGGGCTTCGAGCGGGAGGACGGTTGTAGGCCAGGAGCCTCAGTCGACATCGGCACCAGAGACGGTGGTCCAGTGATTCGGAGATCCGACTCGGGCCACTGTTTCTTTTGCCAATCTTGTGTCGACTGACCGTCCCTCGGCGTCGATTGCTCAAGTCTCTGCTTCTCCTACACAGCTCCATGCTTTAGATCCTGTGATTGCTCTGACTGTACTGCCATCGTCGCTCTTTGCTGCACATCACACTCCAAATGACCCGGCGGGTGCCGCCAAGGAAGCCATACTCCAAGCAAACGTTATGATGGAGCAGATGAAGGTGGTGCACGAGGCCAGCCAGGCTGCCCACAACGCCAGCTCTGCTCTGCATGTTAATGTCAAGGTCAGTTGATTTCGGACTGATCTCTCAATTTGATCCCGAAGACCGCCGTCGGATGTTTGATTCGACGGGGGTCTTTGTCGAATGTCACTTCATTGTTCTTTCACTCGGTTGAATAGCTTGTTTCGAGTGGAATCCAGACCAGCGGAGGCACGTAGAGTGCACCAACTAGGTGTAGTCCCGGAGACCACGGTCGACTGCTGGTAGTCGGCTGTGGTCTTTGAATCCCTCTATTTTTTTGCATACTCATGCTTGGCAGACCATGCTGAGTGGTAAACTGGACCAGTGGGGGCACGCCAAGTGCATCCACTTGGCGTAGTCCGCGAGACTACTGTTGAATATTTTGATTCAGCGGTAGTCTTAGAACACTTTTTTTGCTGAGATTAACCTTTGTTTCTGTAGACTGACGTGCCTTGTTTGCTGACCGCAGAAATCTTGTGAGCTCGGGGCCCGGTTTGCTGAGTTGGAGAAGAAACAGATCAGCCTCAACCTTGATCTGGAGCTGGCCAAGAAGAATCTTCGGAAGGTTTGGATTGAGCGAAATCGACGAAAAGCAACAAAAAAAAGGCAACCGTTGAATAGGTGGTCTCTTTAAATTATGTCATTGAAATTTTAAGGTTTTGTCTGCCCTAATTATTGCACATCTAAGCAAGTCAATTAAACTAGAAAGAAAGGAAAAAGACAAAAGAAATGCTTGCATGAGTCTTAGATAAAATCAATGACATAGTACTAAGATGTGCAATCCTTAGAGCACATCTAGATGTGCTTTAGCAGAACTGAAATTTTAATTCAGATACAACCTCCACATTTAGTGACAAATGAGGCGAATTTTATTGTAAATACTCTCTCCATCGGGAGATACTTGGCGAAGAAATGATTGTTTCTGAACGTATTTTAGTTCTAAATATATTTATTTTATATCTATTTTTATGACAAGTAATTCCGAACGAGGGTAGCTACGGTATTTTTAATCATCTGCTCGCAGCAAAGTCGAAAAATTGACATCTGGATGGACGGTGTGCTGACGGAAGGGCTTGCGCGATGGGAGGCAGCAGCAGGTGGTGCATAAAAAATACTAGTAATTAAGACAGGCTCATCTCCAGTCAAGCATGATTGAAGGAAACTGATTTTTAGTAAAAGTTTTAAAAATTCATAGCCGGACTAGTAGACACATGCTCATATGCTCATCGCCCAGGCATCACGGATGACACTGTGCTCGAAGTAGCATCAGGGATGACGCATACATATGTTGTCCATAGACACTATATAAACAGTTTATCCACCTGTGAAACATCCATCGAAAATAAGCACAAGCACAAGCAGCTAAAGCAATCTCAGTGGTCTTCAAAACACACACACACACACACAAAAAACATCGATCGAGGTAGTTAGAGATGGCCGGACGAGATGACCTGAAGCTGCTCGGCACATGGCCAAGCCCGTTTGTTACCAGGGTGAAGCTGGCACTCGCCCTGAAGGGCCTGAGCTACGAGGACGTGGAGGAGGACCTGTACAAGAAGAGCGAGCTTCTCCTCAAGTCCAACCCGGTGCACAAGAAGATACCAGTGCTCATCCACAACGGCGCCCCGGTCTGCGAGTCCATGATCATTCTGCAGTACATCGACGAAGTGTTCGCCGGCACCGGCCCGTCCCTTCTCCCAGCGGACCCCTACGAGCGCGCCATTGCTCGCTTCTGGATGGCCTACGTTGACGACAAGGTTTAAATTATCTTCACTTACTTGAACTACTTGTCTCCGTTCCTTTACTTTTAGATATCCAACGAGCAACTTTGACCATTATTTTTCTCCGTGTTTCAGCTGGTAGCCCCATGGAGGCAGTGGTTGAGGGGCAAGACAGAGGAGGAGAAATCCGAGGGAAAGAAGCAGGCGTTCGCGGCGGTGGAGATTCTTGAAGGGGCCCTGAGGGAATGCTCCAAGGGAGGGGGCTTCTTCGGCGGCGACGGCCTCGGGCTCGTCGACGTTGCGCTGGGAGGCGTTCTGTCGTGGATGAAGGTGACCGAGGTGTTGTCCGGTGACAAGATCTTCGATGCCGCCAAGACCCCGCTCCTGGCCGCATGGGTGGAGCGCTTCAGCGAGCTCGACGCGGCCAAGATGGCCCTGCCAGACGTGGGCAGGCTGCTTGAGTTCGCCAAGGCACGAGAGGCTGCCGCTGCACCGTCTAACTGAGCCAGCACACATCCAGAATAACTAAAATTTGCTATTTTTAAATGTTGTTTGTTTGGCTGCTTGATGTAATAATGTAGCAGTAACTCATGTCATCCATTTATTCAGTATTGATTATGTCCTTGAGTTTTTAATATTTTGCTTTTGTGTGGAGTTCCCAAATTTTATAATGCGTGCATGTATTAGCTGAGGTTCTCTTTCTGATTCAAGAGATGAGTTCGACAGTTTTTTTAATCTACCAGCAAAATGCTTACAAATTGAACTTTATGGTAAATTTGGTCTGAATTTATATATATTCATTCATCGTTGTGATACTTGAGCTAGACCAAGTAAAGGAGAAATAGTCAATATTTCTTCGCACCTTTGCTATGGAAATGCAGATATATTTGAGTGACCGTTTGTTGATCAATCATGCTGTTGTAGTTCATAAGAAGTTTCAAAAGAGGCACGCAAAACCCCTCAGATTAGCCTCAATCCAGCAAAAATGATTTCTTGAAAGACTTCTCAATCGAGGTAATTTGGTCAGCCACCTCAAAAATTGAATATATAAACCCTCCTAGAATATCCGCCATTCCAGCATCCTCGCACTTTCAAATTCATCCTGTATGTTCGGTTCGCACTGCTGTCCATTGACATCGTACTTTTCATCGCCGTGGTAAACATCTGGAGCTCGTTCTTTTGAACGCCGCAGAATCGGGCTAGAGCGACTGATGCATGGGCCAACTTTGCGCGCGGGCCAGCCTGGCAGCGACACGGTGTGTGCGTGGCTGTGTCCGGGTGAAAGCGGGGGCGATCGATGGTGGGTTGCCAGTGGCGTTCGTGGGTTGGCAGGGCGTTTTTTTACCGTCCTCGTTTGCACCCAGTGGCGGCGCCTCCGCTCCAGCCGTGGTGGGCCCATCTGTCATTCTCGTGGGTGCGCGGCTCAGAGAGAGCAGCGAGCGAGCGGGCGGCCTAGAGAGCGGGCACGAGACAAAAGAAAAGGAGAAGCGGCAGCGAGAGAAAAGAGGAAAAGCAGTCAGACCTAGCCCGCGCCCCCGTAGCCGCCTCCTCTCCTGCCGCCGCCGCCTTGGCATTGTTCGCCTCCTCTCCTGCCGCCGCCACCGCCTTGGCCTCGGCGCCCGTGCTCTCCCGGCGCCCGTCGGCCTCGATCCGGCCTCAGCAGGAGGAGCTCGGCCTCGAGACTCGGCAGGAGGAGCTCGCCCTCGAGTAGGACTCAACAGGAGGAGGGGAGCAGCAGCTGCGCCCCATGCTCTCTCGCCACCCTCGAGGTGAAGGTAACGGATGAAATCCCATGGACGAGCTCGAGCTGGAAGGACGCGGACGGCAGCGACTTGGACCAACATCGTCCTGCCGGTGCCTTGCCGGTGAGCGCCACGCATGGTGCAGCAGGCGGCAGGCACGACTTTGGGAGCTGCGCATCGAGCGACGACTACTGCATCTGCCGCCAGCACCAAGGTGAGCTTCCTCTTTCCGTGCGGCCACCTCCCCTGGCACCGATTTGTTGGTGAGGTGTTCCATGGTGAGGTATGAAGAGACGATGTCCCATCTTCTGCATAAAAATAGTTTTTCTTTCCTCATGTGATTATTTTGGGATCTAGCTCTATGTAACCACTTTTCTAGATTAACTTCACAAAATGGCGGCAGCAGTTAGTTGAATGGTTGAAGTAGTAGTCAATTTGGTTCATATGCTTTGAATAAAATTGTGTTCATAGATCATGTTATGCACTTTGAATGAAATTGTGTTCAGTATACCAAGGATATTAAGAATTCGATTCATAAATGCAGCCAAGATGTAGAGCGGTGGTCGACGGCGGCAACCTGCTCCCAAGTTGCAAGTGATGTTGCCAGATAGCAGTATACCAAGGGTTCTAAGAATTTGATTCATAAATGTAGCCAAGATGCAGCGCGGTGGTCGACGGCGGCGGCCTGCTCCCAAGTTGCAGGTGAGAAAGTGATGCGGCAGTTGTTGGTTTGCATACATATTGATCTATTCTGTGAATATTTTGTGAGGTATCCTGATTGGCATATCACAGGTTGCTAATGCTGTTCAAACAGGTGCGTGCATGGACATCTTCATGATTACTGATTATAAGATCTTCATGATTACTGATTATAAGTGAACACACATATCTTCTCTCGAGGTTCTGAGTGTTGAGAGTGGTTGCTCATTGTTTCTGTATTCAAATACTGATGAATCAACACTTCCAAAAGATATGTAAGTTCAGTCATCATCTCTGACTCTGTGCTGTGTAATTTTTTTTATTCAGCAGTCCAACTGCATCTCAACAACTAAAATACAGTATATCATAAAGTGTTTCATCTCTCAAGCCACTGTTTGGCATGGGTACAATATTTGCTTCCTCTTTCTAGGGTAGTCAAATTGATAGGATAATGCATGATCATGCTTTGTACAGAGCGGACCTCACATGGAACGTCCTACCCATCTTAAACTTCACCCAGCCTTGTTACACTTGACCCTTTAATTTCCTAGAAAATTTCGTCTTTGTTTGTGCAAATATTGTTTTATTTGTCATACTCTTATACATTGAAGTTACATTTTGTCCTACAGACTGATGGCCAAAGAAGATTGGGGAAGTTCCACTATGTTCCTACAGACTGTTGGCCAAAAAAGATTGGGGGAAAATAGCTCTGGAGAAGGATTGAGATGAAAATGGGATTGGGATCTCACTTCGCAATGCATTGAAGAATCATGGTAGAACTTTTTATATTGCTGACTGAGATGGCGATTAGGATTTATTGCTTTTTACTAATTTTTTTATTTTTTCTACTTTGCTCAGATAATTTTTACAGGCTGTTCTTTCTTTAGTACCAATGAATAACTTGGTTACACAATATACTTGAAGATTGCATTAGGAACAAAATGCTTAGCAGACCAAACTAATTAGGTAAGCTGAGAACTGATTGGTCTAACCCTAGAATAATTGGTTGCCAGTCATAGAATCATCTTGTACTGTTGTACATAACTAATTTTGACTTGAACTTTGGTGTGGTCGTGTATCTTTGAAGTTTTCTGGAGACAGACTACTCTTGCATCATTATGTGCAACCCACAGGTATCTCACTCGGCGAGACATGCACACCTATGCCACATCTTTACATGTAAGTTTGTTTTGCTTAGCCATGGACAGTGAGGTCCCCCTTCTCTTCATTCCCAGTTCATTTATTTAATATCAATATCTTTACTCTAGGATTTATGTCCTTGCCAACTCTACAATTGTTCATTGCACACTCAGAGTCTAGATATTGAATTAGCTACTTTTGCGATCCCTGGACTATACGAGTCAAGTATTTCTGGATTGCCCATTTTTCAGCTGGTTAAGGCTTTTTCTATTGTTTGCAAATGAAAATTATTTGATGTACCCCTGGTATGATACAAGAAGAGTTTGCTCTTTCCCTTTGTAAAATTTTCTGCACACGATGTTGTCGAGGATGATTTCAGAATTTATATGCTCATTGCTTCCATTGCTTCTTTCCCCATTAACTGATATTAGACAGTGGTCTATAAATGTTGCACCTGACTCTGTTTTCCAAGGAAATACGAATGAAGTTATAGTACTTGCAAACTGCGACTCTTCGCTGAACAAGAAAAGTAAATATGATAACATATTAGGCAGTAAAATTACATGGCTGATCTCTGTTTTGTGCATGTCAGGTGAGCATTATGAGTTGTTCTACTTCCCTTAAGAGAGTGTACTTTCCTCTCATCAGATGCTCACTCTGGAATAAACAAATCTTTTGGGATGTAACCTGTTCTTAGTTTTGATGCCTTACCGTCTGCCTTCTCCTCTCCTTTATGTTGTTTTTTTGTAAATTATTTGTCTAGGCTACTACCATAACTTGTTGGTTTAGTTTAGGTGTGTAGGAAGAATTTGCAGATGAATCACGCTATCAGGTTTAGGCGTGCACATGGCCACTAATAATAATAAAAATTGATATTTGATGAAGCCATCATCATGTCATGTAATTACTTGCAGAACAACTATATTGTTTTTTGGGGCGGTAAAGCGGAAATGATAGGACTCTGCAACTCATGTGAGTGTTGTTTGATTATTTACTTTTTCAAGCGTGTGGATGTCGTTGGCATGTTTAGTATACGCACGAAGATATGCAAAGTGTAAAAGTGGTTTCCTGGGAACGTCATATTTTTTTCTCCTGGGAACGAATGAACTGTTCGTCAGGGAGCGATCACCCCACCGAACGTTTTTGTTCGATCTGGGGGAGGAGCTGGAGCGAACGATTCACCCCAGGCCCCCATGCAAACAGTTGCCCATGCAGGCAAAAACAGAACCCTGACTGGGCCTTTACGACCTCCAATTAGGCCAAAAAATGGCCCAGTTTTTTGTGACGCCTCAACACTTGGGTCATCACTCGAGGTTATTGCTTTTGAGTTTCAGGTGATATTTTTTTAATTGATTTTTGGGAAATCATGATGCTAAATATATGGATTGTGTCAGTTAGCTAATCTATTGGCTCTTTGATGTGTATGATGACATGATGGCAATGAAAATACATTTTCGAACTGAAAGTATTTGTGTAGTTTAATTTTGACAGAGTATAGGAGCATACTCAATGTCTTCCGCTTTGTGTATGATGGCGGCTTTTCTTGCTTATAGCAATCAGCTAAATAAATATGTGGGCATTTAAAAATATCTTTGCAATTAGGCCAGGCGTGAGAAAAAAAATTCAAAGACGACG